TCTGGCTCAGAGCAAACAGTGTATTTCAGCTCAGTGAAGGGGTCTCCCTGGACGGATAGAGTAAGGAGTGGCCAGACGGGAGGGTTGAGATCCTGGGAGCTGATGTGCCGGGATTGAAAAGTTGCTCTCTGTAAGAGAATTAAATATTGTAAAAGGTGAGAGATCGATGGCCATGAAGTCTAGATAGGAACTATAATTTGTGATTTTCGTGATTATGTTTAAAACCTGACTTTACTATGTCCGGAATGCTTTCCATCTTGAATTCTCAGGGTAAGTTTAACAGCCACTCTATACGCTTTGAGGAACAATCAAAGATAGACTTTATGGGAGCTTGAAAGGATTGCTAGTTTGGAAATATCAAACTTCAACAACTATTGAATATCATTTATTTCTACAAAATTGATGTCTTTACAAAAGGAAGTAAAGAATATTATCGTTTACTAATTTGAGGAGAAACATCAGTCACAACAATTGGTGAACCTGAGAAGAAACCACTTTCCACTTAAAAAGATCAACCTGCTTCCCCCAGCCACTTCCTGTAACAAGAGAAAAGCCTTTTACAAACTCCCTAATTTCTGGGTGAGTCTTAAAAACTTATCTTCTAAAAGATCTGTAAAGCTCAGGCTAGGCAAGAGATTTTAAAGTTTATTTTGTGTGGGTGTAACTTGGAAAGTAGTCGTGTGTGAATTAGAATCTTGAACATAGTCCAATCACACCTACTTTCTGTTCTAACCACACATGTATGATTATTTGAAGCAAATACTTTCATCTCACAGTCATTTAAATATTATTTCCATGAATGAATAGATGAGGAAGAATCTCAGGTTCACTTAAAGTTTTGCACAGAACCTTCAGGTCTATAAAGGACATTGTACCAAGTAGACACAAGCTCCATACATAATCTCTACAGCAATCCCATGAGTTAGTGGTATTAGAATCATCTCTCACATCAGGCCACTCCTCACTCTATTCAGGAAGACCACTTCTCTGTGCTAAAAGAATCACTGTTTGTTCTCAAACCAGATTACATAGGAGAAAAATCATTGAGAAATGTCAAAGCCAGGCTTCAAAATTAGTCCATCTTGCCAAAAAGTCCCTGCTCTTTACAGTAGTATAATACTTTCTAAATATGAAAGATTTCATACCTTTTATACCTGATGAGCTATACTCTAAAGTATCTAGTGGCAATAAACCTGAAAAATAAGTGGTTCATGAACAAAATCTCAAAATAATACAACTGATTTTAAACGCACTTTTCAGAACAAACACATATGAGTGTTTCAAAGACATCCTCAAGGAATGAGACAATCTGAATATTTTCATTTTCCAAACTGCATAAAATGTATACCCTATTAAATATTCCAGGTTTAAAAATATATGTAATCAGTTTGGGGTATCAAAACTTTGAAAAATGCATTGAAAAATGGTTTTACATCAGCAAATCTATTAACACTGCTCACCAGAAGAGAAAAATCAGATCATCATACTCTCAGATACTGAAGACAGTTGACCACATCCAATATCCTTTTTTTAAAAAAAAGTAGCTTGTTTAAATTATGACACAATAAAACGGACTGTTTTTGGTGTATGATTCTTTGAATTTTAACAAATGTCAAGATTGATGTAACCACAATCAGCATGCAGAAAAGATGCATCACTCCCCCCAAAAAATCCTTGGCATTACCCCTTTGTAGTCATATCTTCCCCTCAACTTGTAACTCCTGGCAACCACTGATTTTTTTCCATTATGATGGTTTCTTCTGTTTGAAAATGGAATCATACAGCATATGACCTTTTCAGAATAGCTTTTTAAATTCAGCATAATGTCTTTGAGATATATCCAAGTTGTATGAATCAATAGTCCATTTCTTTTTATTACTGATCATATTCTTTTCTACGGTTATATCATACTTTGTCAGCTCAGGACATCTGGGTTGTTTCCAGTTTTTCATGATTGTGAATAGAGCTGCTGTAAACATTTGCATACAGATTTTTGTGTGAACATAAGTTTTCACTTTTCTAGGGCTAATACCCAGGGGTGGAATTGCTGAGCCATATGGTAATTTATTTAACTGTATAAGCAACTGCTAAAGTGCTTTCCAGAATGGCTGTACCATTTTGCATTCCCACCAGCATGTAGGAGAGTTCCAGTTGCTCCATGGCCTTGGCAGAACTTTGTGTTTTCATTATTTTTATTTTAGCCATTCTAATGAGTATGTAGTAGTTAATTTTAATTTACATTTTCCTAATGGATAACTATGTTGAACACCTCTTTATGTGCTAATTTATTATCTGCACAGTCTCTTTAAGACTTTAGTCCATTTTTTAATTGGGCTATCTTTTCATTGTAGGGTTTTAGGAGTTCATTATACATTCTTTATACAGAATCTTTTATTGGATATATGATTTATAAATATTTTCTCCCAGACTGTAGCTTGTCTATTCATTCTCTTAGAGTGTCTTTTGCAGAGCAAAAGTTTTTAATTCTAATGAAGTGAAAAATCATTACATTCTTTCATAGTTTGTGCTTTTGGTGTCTAAGAATTCTTTGCCTAACCTGAAGTCACAAAGATTTCATCCTATGTATTTTATAAGTTTTATAGTTTTACATTTAAATCTATGATTCATTTTGGGTTAATTTTTTGTATAAGATGTGAGGTTTCACGTGAGATTTGTTAATTTTGCACATGGATGTCCAATAGTTCCAACACTGTTGAAAATACATTAATTTCTCCATTGAATTGCCTATACACCTTTCTCTCTTCCCTTACATTTTTCTGGAGGAGAGAGCATAGAATTGGTGTTATTTCTTTAAATGTTTGATGGAATTCATCAGTAAAACCATGTGGAACTGGAGATTTCTATATCACAAGGCCTTTAAACAAGAATCCCTTAGTCACTAGAGGACTATTTTGCATAGTTAGTTCATCTTGAGTGGGTTTTGGTAGTGAGCAGTGTTGGAAGAGATAATATACTGTAAGCCCTATGTATCTGCATCCCCTTGGTGGGTATGCCAAGAATGCAAGGCTCTAGCTGCTCTTTATCTGGTCCCTTTCTCAGGGCTGTTTGCAGTCAACAGGATGAAGTAATGACTCCCTCACAGAGCCATTTACAAAAGAGGTAACTTCCCCAATTTTGGTGTTCCTTGGGGGTTATACATATCCATTACATGTGTAACAGTCCCACCTGTATCGCTCCCATGGACTTAGAAGATAATCTGCAACCAATGCAAACCAACATGGTCATGCTTGCTGTGCTGAGTAGTAACGTGTTTCATCTCTAATCTAGGAGTCTTGTGTGCTCTGCAGCCTCCTGGACCAGTAACAAGCTGGCTAGCTAGCTTATCATAGGAAAAAATCTCAGCCCCTTCATCGTTCACATATATTTTGCAGGGAATTGGTTATTTAATCTAAATTGTCATATTTGTGTTAGTAGATGTTTTATTTTTTGCAATATTTCATGTATCTTGTTAACTTCCGTGGAGTCTGGTATCTCCCCTTTCATTCCTAATATTGGTAATTCATGTCAATTTATTCTTTGTCAATTTTGCCAGAGGTTTACCAATTTTCTGATCTGTTCAAAGAATCATTTTTGTTCATTGCCTTTCCCCATATTTTTTCTGTGATCAAGTTCACTGATATTTGTTCTCAACTGTATTATTTCCTTGTGATTCTTTGGGTTTTTGTTTTGTTTTGTTTTACTTTTTTATTTTCATAATTTGGAAGCTTATTGATTCAAGACTTTTATTTTTCATGTATTTCATGCTATAAATTTTCTACTAAGAAATATTTCACCTCCTCCCACACATTTTGATATGCTCTATTTCCATATTCAGTCAGTTCAAAATATATTTGGTAAGCCATAGTTAAAGGCATTTTGTTTTCAAGTGTTTGCAGATTTCTCATTATCTTTCTGTCACTGATTATGGTCACAGAGCATTATTTTGTAAAATTTCAAATTTTTAAATTTGTTATGGTTAATGATTCAGGACTTGGTTTGTCTTGAAGAATGGTCCATGCACACTTGAAAAGACTGTATATTGTGTTCCTATTGGGTTGAGTGATCTATAAATGTCAACTAGATCCAGCTGATTGATGGTGTTCAGTTCTATCTCTAGCTGATTTTCTACTAGTTTTATTGATGACTGAGAGAAGAATGTTGAAGTCTCCAACTGTAATGATAGGTTTGTCTATTTCTCCTTTCAGTTACATTGGTTTTTTGCTGTATGTATTTTGAAGATCTGTTGTTTGGTGTACACATCTAAGAATGTAAGTTCTTCTTGGTGAGTTGATCTTATCTTTTCAAAAGCTTTTGTTTAGCCCTGGTAAAATTTCATGAATCTGAAGATGACTTTGATGTTAATATGGTCATTCTAGCTTTCATTTGACTATGATTTGCATGTGTACACCTTTCCCCATCATTTTATTTTAACTTACCTATGTCATTATATTTGAAATGAGTTTCTTGTAAATGGCATATAGTTATATTAAAAAAAAGCTATTATGACAATCTTTATCTTTTAATAAATTATGTATTTGGAACATTTACATTTAATGTAATTATTAATGTGTTTGGATTTAGGCCTATCATTTTGTTATTTGTTTTTTTCTTACTTTTCTCTTTCTCTCAGTATTTAATTCTTCCATTTCTCTTTTCCTCTCTTTTGGGTTATTTGAACATTTTTTTAGTATTCCATTTTAATTTTCCTATTGCATTTTTTTTTTGAGAGGGCATCTCTCATATTTATTGATCAAATGGTTCCTATTGCATTTTTGACAACATTTTTGTATAATTTTTTGTTTATTTGTTTTCAGTTGTTGCTGTGGAATTACAAAATACATATTTAACTTTTCAAAGTCTACTTGGAGCCTCTTCCTGTGGAATGTAGAAATCTTGCTGCCATGTTACCAAAACTAATTAACACTCTTCTGGAGATACTAGCAGCAAGGGGTAAATATGAGAGGTAAAAAAGGGAAATAAGAATAAAAATGATCATTATATGCAGATAACATGATTGTTTACTTAGAAAACACAAAATAAACTAGAAAATTATTACAACTGTTAGGAAAATTCAGTTATGTGATTTCGGAGCAAAGCTAAAATACAGAAATCAACAGTCTTCATGTGTAAAACAACAGCCATAAACAATATATAATGAAAGAAAACATGAAAATATCCAGGGGTATCAATAAATGCACAAGATCTATATAAAGAACTCAACAAGTGATTGATCAACATTCATTCACATTAAAGAAATAGAATGTATTTCATACCAGTTTCTTGGATCACTGTGGAGCAATCATGGGTTCAGACAGTTAATAATATGGTTGGCTAAGGAACTGAAGGGATGAGCTACCATCTGTGGGATTAATATCCAACAAGTTAAGGAAATCAATCTCCTTAAATTGATATGGAAATTTAATTCATCCCACTAATATAGTAAACAGGATTTGATTTTCTTTTGAAAATCAGAAAACTTAATTTTAAAGTTCACATGAAAAACTGGCAGGAATAACCAGAAAAATTATGAAAATGAAGAACACTAACAGGAAATTTTTCTACCAGACAGTAAAGCATATTTTAAACCACAATAATTGGAACAGCGTGGAACGAGATCATGAATCAACACTTCACTGAACAGCCTTAAAAGTCCAGAAATCAGTAAAGAAAAGGTGGATAATACAATGTATAATGATTTAATAAGTGAGCACACATCTGAAAATGATTAAGTTGGGTCCCTCATTCATATTTTATAGCAAAATAAATTCCAGGTAGATCAAATCCTTACACATAAAAAAATATGTAAAACTATTAGAAGAAAATATGGGCAATATAAACAGAATCTCAGAGAAGTAATGCTTTTTTGGGGGGACACAGGTAGAACACATAAGTCATTAAAAAAATATACTGATAATTTAATCTCTATTAAAAAAAAATCTACAAGCTCACCTGAGCTTCAGTGGCCAGAGTTTTTGTTGGGTTTTCATTACATAGGATGATTGACTGAATCATTGTCCACAAGGTTGAACTTAATCTCTAGCCCCTCTTCCCTCCCCAGAGGTCAGACTGCTAACCCTGTGATTCAAACCCCCAACTCTCTAATCACACGGTTGATCCTTCTGGTGTGGCCCACCCTCATCATGAGTCATCTTGCTCGTATAAACAATCAGGTTCCACCATGAACGACAAACTTCAATCACTCCAGAAATTCTAAGGATTTAGATCCTGGTAAAGGGGTGGGGAGCTGGGGAGCAGGGCAGAGAGGAGGGGAAGAGAGCCAAGTAAATTTTTTTATTTCAAAGGTTTAGAAGCTACCTGTCATAGTAAAAGACTAGAAAGTAACAATGTCCAGGGACAGAGGACTGATTTTAAAGTCAAAATAATTATAAAATGGAATTCCATGCAACTTATGAAAAGAATGGGGCAGCTCTGCAGGCATATAGAACAAAACTGCTGAAAATGTGTGAAACAATCTGTATAGTTTGTTGTAATTTGTGTTTTCTCTCTGTATATGTTTATATACACATGGGGCCATCTCTAGAAAAATAAAAAACTGTTAACAGAGATTATCCAGAGAGAAATGAGTGGTTGGGAGGAAGACTTACTTTTTTACCCTTTCAATTTGCCAATTTTCAGATTTTACTGAGTCATTGTCATAAATTATATTGAATAATAAAGCTCTAAGGCTCTGTTGAGGCACACAGGGCTGTTTTTACCCCCTCTAAATGACCCCAGGCTACTGTGATTTGAGTGTTAGTGTCATTTTTAGTTTTTTTAAAAATTTTTCCCAGCTGCTTCTGACTACTGTCAACATTCCTTCCTCTGGCTGACTCAAACTTCTTTTAAATTGGCACTTTTAGTTGTGGTGAGCTAAGAAAACAAACATATGATCCTAATATAATACCATATAAAATAGAGGGAAAAACTACCTCTTTGATAACTTGAGGAAGCCTCTCACAATTGATGAGCTTTAGAGATTAGAATTTGTAACTACTTGACTCAAGATTTTTACATTCTTAGTTCCATATAATTGAATAAAGAACAGGCAAGCATTACTGAAGTCATGGGAGGCTCTATTATTTAATTAATGCTACATCGCTAAATACACATCTGGAACTGTTTTTCAGAATTGCTTTCTCTCATTCATTCAAGAATATTTTTGAGCATCTAGTGTATATCAGGGAATGCTCTAGGTGCTAGGGATACAGCAATGAACAATACAGACAACAGCCAAAATCTCTTAAATTTACATTCTAATTGAAGAGAGAGGCAACAGGCAAAGATAAAGCAGCAAATACTATAGAGAGAAAAGGGGATAATATGACAGAGCAATTAGGATGGGGAAGTAGCACTGGTCAGGATTGCATTATCCGACAGTATCTGATTAAAAAAAAAAACCCCACTAGGACATCACTGAAACACACAGACATGAATGTATGCACATACACACACACACATCTTAAATACACAAAATAAAGTTTTTAATATAGGAATTATAGGGGGCTGGCTGTTCTTTTGCACCTGGCAGGTGGGAAGGGAAGATGGTTGCGAAGTGGGGAAAGCAAAGACACACTGGAGCCTGGCAGGATGAATTGAACCCACAGGACTGAGAGGAACTCATGAGGATGGACTGGAATCCACCCTCTCACTGCCACTCTCTCACTGCCTCCAAACTTCAACTGCAAGGATGGGGCTGCCCTGCAGAATTTGGCATCTTTTGTCACAGAGTAAAACACACACCTGGCTCAGGAGCCAGAGAAGCTGAATGTGAGCCAGTAGGAGCTGGTGTTCCTGTGGGCCCAAAGTCCAAGAAGAGGTCAGGCTAGCAGGGAAGCTAAAGCATCAGTGAGTAGCAGCAGGGTGTGCCTTGCTCAGACCTTTTAATTCTAAAAAGAATCTGGATCTGGCTAACTTACTTCTGCCTTCTACACCTCACACCGAAACATCTTGTCTTGTCACCCACCCTATCCTAGAATTACACAGGGAGAATTCCGAGGAGCACATCTCCAGTTTAGCTACATTGGTACCATATTTTGTACAATGTACCAATGTACATTGGTACATTCAGAAAAAGACCACCACAGATGGTCAGGGGTCTCTGAAAGATATTTGAGATGACAGCCTGAAAGATGAGGAGGGTTCAGCCATGCAACCACGCTAAGATTTGGAACAGAATATCCCAGGCAGAAGAAATAGCTAGTGCAAAGGCTCTACAGCAGTGACACAGATGAGGTGGTTTGTGGTGTGGCTGTTTTATGGTAAGAGGGAAAATGATATGAAATGAGAGCAGAGAAGGGCAGGGACCACATCACGGGGGGGCTTGTAGGACATGGTACTGAGCATTGATCAGTTTTGTCCAAGTGCAATGGGAAGCAAATGGAGTTTTTAACAGGGCAGCCGTTTGATCTGATTTGTATTTTTAAAACTCTTTCAAAATAATTTCAAATTAAAAAACAAAGGTAAAAGTAACATAAAGAATTCCATGACCCACCTGACTTCTCTTTGCTTTGCACAGAATGGGTTTAGTGGGCAGGACCACTTCTTTCTATGCTTCCAGGCCTGGAATTCTGTGCAAATAACACTCCTAAGAGTATATGTGCTTGATGCCCTTGGAGTTGTGCAGAGAAAGCTGCCAAAGTGTGGAAGCAGCAATATTACTTAAAGAATTACTGCAAGAGTTCAGGCTCGTGTGCCCCCACACTTATTTTCACATTTTAGAGGAAAACCAATCTCATTATCGTAGTTCAATTCACGAATTCATGTTGAAACAAAAAAACAAATGATACTATCTCGTCAGATATGGTCACAAATTGACTATCACATCACTTTTCAAAATCCAATGAAAAGCTCAACGATTTGACCCACTGAAGCTACAGAAAGAGAACATTTCACAAAGAATTCTAATTTCCAAACAATTTCCGGAGAATATGCAGAGCCTCTGAAGGGAAACGTGCTGAAGGGGACAACCTCCGCACTGATGTGTAAGTTCTAGTCTCAGTACATTAGAAGAGGCCTTAGGCTCGTATAGCTTCTGTGTTCCTCAGGCTTGTCTTACTTTACTTGAGATGATGAAAAACTTTCCTAAAGCAAGCTCTTCTGCTTTGATTTTATCTCCCTGTCAGCAATACTGTCTGGCTGAAAGCTAAGCTTCAAATACTGAAGTGTGCTGAGGTGCACACTTGGATACTCAAGCTCGTTTCTGATTTCAGCATAATTCCAGCACAATTAACTATGTATAGACAGTCATTCTCACTAAAAACATATACACCGAATAGGTATGCTCATTAAACCACGAGGGTAAAGTAGAAAAACAAAAGAGAAGTCAGGGGACATTAGAACAATTATTAGTTCCCTCTTACACTCAGTTAAGAGAGAGCTGGGTTAGCGTGGCCGGGCTCAGCGATGAGTGTATGAGTGTGAGGGGCCTGGCGCACAGCAGTCATTCAACCAGGCAGGACATGATCACACATGTCAATGAAAATAAACATCTGTACTTTCCTAAGGGAAGAAATGAAATGCTTCTGGAAAAAAAGAAAAGAACTTTGGCTAGATCATTCATCTTCTTTAAGAAAAATGTAGATAAAAGAGTATTATCTGACAGGGAAAGAGAAGTAGGAAAGTCTTGATCTTTAATTAGAGTTTGCAGTATACACTTCTCTCTCTGTAATCTATGATGACAAATCTCCATGTAAACATTCAGAAAAAGAGGATGCTGCGTCATGACTTAGGAACTATAAATTTTAAGTTCTGATTACTAAACTTTATTAACAACTGCTTCATACATTAATTATTAACTGTTCCCTTCATTTAACAAAGGCTTTGAATAACAAAATAAATTATCAGCAAGTTCAACCATAAATTAAGACATAAAGTAAAAAAAACCTGTCAAAGTTTTGTGTCAAGCACAGTAACATATTTCATATATGTTGATTACAGTTTGTATGTCCTTCGTGTAAAATAACAGAAAGATTACTTCCTTCCTATTGTTGCAAGTTCACAAAATGTATGAAAAGGCTTTTTCTTTAGCTTAATTAACTGCATCTCAGTTGAACACAACAGACATAACTGAGGTTGCTAGTGAGAGTTGGTAGAAGTAAAGGTTTCCACCACTCAGCCCATCATGGAACCCTGAAATATATCTCAAGAGTTTCTAGTTGCAACGTGTAGCTCTCCATTAAGTAATTTACAAAGAACTGTCAGAGAAATGATTTAATGAGCAGGCTGAACTTTGTCACACTGCCATACTACTAGTCACGAACACATGTACTTTGCCTTTAAAATTAAACAGACTACTATTCATTTCCCATGAGAATAGGTGTAAGGGGAAAACAAAGATGAAGCCATAGATATTTTTAAGTTGTGCTACATTACTTTAACTATTTAATTAAATAGTTGAATTACCAGATCAGTGCACATTTCTTGGTTAAAAATGTAATACCTTTGAAGGTAGATTAAAAAATATCTTTTAAATAAGCCAGAGGTAAAAATGAAAAGGCCTGAACAACCTGACAAAGAGCAACAGAATAGTTTCCAGTCAGTGACTATTAATGGGGAAAACTCATTTTATACAGCAGGTATTGACAACCATTAGCAGTTCTTTAAACAGGCACTTGATAGATTATTTATAGCTAGCATACTCAACACCGGGGCATCACATACACAAAAAGTATGGCTTTATTACAAAGGATTCAAGATGGCAACTACTTAGAATCCAGTGCCAACACGGATTATAACAAATCCAGTCAGTATTTTGTTTTTCAATTATTCATAGAAAATTTAATCCTGATTAAGTATCCTTGGGCAGGAATTCATGGGTAGTTGATGAGTGAAACCAACATTTATGTGAAATGCTTCTGTTAATTTAATCTGTGTATATGGCTTAATTACAATTGGGGATTCAATGTAAGAGAAATGAATTGTATAAGGATTAAAATTTTAGTACCTTCTCACATAGGACTTTTTATTTTTTTCTCTTTAAACATGTAAACCTCCTTGTCCCTTCACCTAAGTGCTCAGATTCAAAACCTTTTGTCTTTACAACCCATATAATGTTGCTAAGCTTTATTTTTCATAAACTACCTGTCAAAAACCTTTACTAATCAAGCTACAACCTGAACTAGAGCCAAAAATGATTTAAAAAATGGAGAATAATTCCACCCACAAGAAAACAAAAGCTAATTTATTTAACTATGAATATATTTTATATTCATTTTCATTTTCAATTTCTTAAACTCCAACAGGAAATGCATTTTCCTTAAAGCATAAAAAGCAGCAGTTTTTAATCAGTGTACTACACTGACTTCATAACTGGATTTAGTTTAGATATGTATAAGCAAGTAATCATTAACTGATTACCTTTTATAAGACTATCAAACCTGAGTTAACTATTGATATGAGGCTTATAAGTGGTCAATCTCTTACCAAAATATTATATAATTCTTTTTCATCTCTACTTACATATGGGAATTGCATAAATCACCTTATGCCAATACTCTTTCTTGAAAGTTTATTAAGTATATTTCAAAACATTTCATGTATTACCTTTTTTCAGGTTTGGTACTGCTTAAATGCAGTTGTATAAATAACATGCTTTGCCTTCTTTGTTCAACATTTCATACAAAAAGTATGAAATCACAAGTCACTGTATTTGGATCCTTATCGCACTGTTAAATAAATTCACTTTTCCTTTAAAGAAAATCAAGTATCAGAAGTGAAGCCGACTTTTGTGTCCAGATGATACGGTCAGTGGTAGTGTTACTGAAGAAAGTGAAGAAACTTCCCAGTAGAGACTGTGGGATAGAAAGAGTCTGTAAAGAATAACCATGGAAACAGACTGGCAAAGGATAACACCTATTGTAATAACCTGAAAAGAAAAGAAAGGGAATGCTTTTACTGCAGGCAAAAATAGAGAAATTCTATTTAATTCATCATGAACCTATATATATACTTTCAATACAAGTATACTCACTACTCTATCCTCCATCTTTAACATGGATACATTTTATCAATAAATTTTCAATAGGAAAATATGACTAGTGTTCAGAACTGTAATTGTTCAAAGGTAAAATTCCTTTAACAGTTTATAGAACCAAAAGAAGACACATTCAGTTTGCTAAACTACCCTCTCCTCAGGGCGCACACACTACAGAAAGTAGTAAGAAAAATCAGGTTCCTGGCTAATCTAATAATAGGAATAAAGCATGCCCCAACCTGAATCTTGAAGAGTACTCTAGAAGCTCTTTCAAAGATTCTTAAGACACTTCTTTATTTTTGTAGACAAGCTTCACATCTATTTACCCTTTGTAAATACCTAAGCATTCCAAAAAACGCGTGCATTCAAGCACGTTACCTTGCTTGTAAAGGGTATCTGGCAGAGCTCCACTTTGAAATGGAGCTGTTACCCTAAGAAGGTAGGTAAAGAAGGGAAGCCTCAACATAGTCAAAATGCGGCATACTTGAGCATGGCATGCCAGCCTGCGGTCTGTGGAAGCAACTACACTGATTTTTATAAATCTTATCTTGATGTTTTCTATTATACAGTGAAAAAATTTAGTCATTTTTTTCTTAAGAAATTGTCTAATTTAATTTATAAGCAGTAGTATGAAATCAGCTAAACAAAGAATAATCAAAGCTATTTTCTATCATTTTGTTTATTAACTAAATTAAAATTTTTTCTTTATATTTTAAACTTCTAATTTATATACCTCAGTGGTTCAATATTTCATTTCAAAGTTTGACTTTAAATAACTCAGTAGGCCTTTCCTACTTCAATAATTTCCCAATAAAGACTACAAAAAGCTATTGTGATCACATATATTACTTACCTTATCTCTTTGGTAGTCATTAAAAATGATAGAAATACATGCAAGAACTGGATGGCACAAAAACCACAGGATACAGCCCTGAAACAAATGAAAAATAAGCCAAGTAAGTGCAGCTGATCTCCATTTTCCAAATGTACCAGGAAAAAAACATTCCTAGCACATGGGAGGCCTTGGATGACCTCAACTGACCTTTAGAGTAGAACTTGAAATAAAATGTAGAAATCAATTTGCTATTGCTGTGACCATACTTTATTTCCAAATGGGTATTTATATTTGTAAATCTCTTATGTACCCATGTTTCAATATACTAAAAATACAATAATACAGTAACAAATCAATAATTGTACAAGGTTATTAAATGGGTCTCACTAACACAAGATGGACATAGAAAGGGGGAGAAGAGTGGATCTGATCTCATATGGACACAGTGAAATGGCTGAAACACAGCATGTGCTCAGCTTCCTGGCTCCATCTGTTTATGCTGAAGGACAGCTTCTCATGGTTTGTCATAAAACACTGTAAAACTCTGAGAGTAACAGTCCATAACTGATAACTTTTTTGAGAAATATAAACCATATTCTAATTTTTTTAATTAAAAAAATTCTGATACCACAGAAAAAAATGTAAAATCTCAATTGATAAAGAAATTATTGTCTAGGCAAAAACTGATCTGCCAAAGATTACAAGAAAACTGCTGTTCCACAGGTTCTATAAATGGGATAATTTCTACATCTTATAGGCTGCAAAGATTAAATGTGTTGAAGTACATAAAGGGTTTACAGTGGTGCCTGGCACATAATACAATTTTAATAAATGTTAGCATGTGGTTGCTTATTAACTTCCCAAAGAAAGCAGAATGAAGTTGATAGCAAGAAGAAGCCATTTTCTGCCCAAACCCATACTTTGGCAAATGTGATGTAGAACTCCCTTTTTAGTGTACTTCTCTCCACTGTGATGATCTGGTAGAGTCCACAGCCTAGTGACAATGCCAGGCAAATTCTTAAAAGGATTAGAAGGAAGCCTGCTAAGTTGTGGTGTGAGTGGTAGCTGTGAGGACTGGTGTCTTCAAACTGTTCCCAAAGTAGCAAAATACTCTGCAAAAAACAATATTACATTTAGAGAAAAAAAAGCATCCCTGCTTATGAAAATGTACTTTTTCAACTCCTTTTAAATATCCCCTAAATCATATGTGCACATTCTTAGGAGGTTCTAGGACTTGTCAGACCAGAAAAGCTGTCTAAGCACAGGCAGTCTTCTCTCGCTGATACTCTAAGCTAAAGTAAAGGGCTTTTTATCAAATGAGACCATACATAAAAGATAAAAATGCAATTGCTACCATGATTTAAGTATGACATTTCTGAAGATGAAAATAAGTTGGAAGGGTTAAAAGAGTAAATGTAACCTTTCTTCTAAATCTTTCTCTTTCTTACTTCAGCACCATATCAGGAGTCACACTGCTCTGCACTCAAGGCCACTAACTCAGGAGAACCTTGAAAGGTCTTAGCATCTTTTGTGATCCAGAAAGTAGCAAGTCAGGACCATTGACTTCAGACTCCACTCTTTTTCCATGGTAACCTCCCTGGGTGAAGGAGAGTGCATTTTTGATGTCACTATAAGCACCCAGGGCACAGTTATTAAACCTGGTTTGTTGACCTTTTCTCCTGTGTTGTTACTGTAACAGTAAAAAGCTCAGCAAATTTTCACTGAGCTGTTTTGTTTATTGCTACTCAGTAGAAAGCAGTGTCTTCTTTCCTTCCATCTTTACCAAACATCACAAAATACTTAGTGTTTTTACCACCACATGTCACTAGTCCTCTGTTTCCTTCACGTGCCAGCTCAGCCCTCAGAAATGAATCTTCAGTGGCTTCCAAAGAATTTAGATATAAACTCCATTATTAAATAAAATTATTAGGCTTTATAGGGTTTACCAGCAACCTCTTCCTTTCATCATTCTCAAATCTTTTACTGTAAATTTACTCCTACTACCATTCTTGATAGGTGAACTCCTTTGTCATCCTGCACACATAAATTTATTTCTTAGGCTGAATATTTGCTCTCTATTACTGAAATATTATTCTCCCATTCCATCACATTATACCCATCTGATTCCTTACCCTACATTCCTAAACTTGGCTTTCACAACAAAGAACTGCTATTATAGAACTACCATTCCCCTTATCAATCTGAGGTGATGGTATGTTAACTAACTTGACTGTGGTGATCATTTCACGATGTATACATATATCAAAACATCAATTTGTGTACTTTAAATATATACAATATCTATTTGTCAAATATTCCCTATTACAGCAAAAAAGAACTATTTACCATGATTCACATTTTTACATATTCAAATTCCCATATTTCCATATACAGATGCTAATATGTGACCTGTGGAACACATGTATTTCTGTAGTCTCTGCCTGTCTTACTTGCCTTGTCTTAGTCGTTGAGGACAGGTGCCATGTATAATGTGTTCTCCACAAATGCTCACATAAACTCTAGGGTAGTATCATAATCTCAATCCTCAATTTTTATTTGTCTATGATAATGAAAGCTCAATTTTTCAAAACATTGTTAATTGATAAATGAGAATTCAACCCAGTTTTAACACTACTCTCCATAATCTAGGGTCAAAAACATTAAGCTGGTAGAATCTTGCTCCTATTTTAATCAGTCCTAATTCAATTCTCAGCAGCCCTCCCTTCCTGGCATTATCTCCTTTCTGAGTATCACGACCTGTGAGATAGTCTCTTTCTCAAATCAGTCATATACAGTTAATACACCGACTTCACTCAGCACCTATATACTAAATAAATACTAAAGGTATAGAGATGAATAAAGCACAGACCTTACCATTCATTAGTAAAAATTTCCATTTATTTAATACATTAAAACTTAGATTATAATGTCCTTTACAGAGCCCAGGTGTATATTTAATTTTCATCTAAAGCTAATGATGGTGACACTTAGTATGAATTTTTATGTTTATACTCTTCTTAATGTTTATAAATGCACTGCACATAGGCAAATAGAGGAAAACGAAGAAAAAGGCATAAAGGAACTTGCTAAAAGATGAAATTGTCTTTGCATTTGTTTTCAAAAACTAAATCCCATTCTTTTTCATCCTGTATTTTCTTTTTCATTAAACTCAGATATTCATTTGAATTATTTCATGTATAAGGCAACAGAACTGGATCTAAAGATCCTTGCTGACGATGACTCTCAAATTCAGTGACTTACTCATTTAATGTTGCGGACTTACGGTGTGTGAGAAAATGTGAAAGAAAGCATTAAGCAGGAAATAAGACTCCAACCTAATATTAAACTTGCTGCACTTAAATAAGCTGATAGAAAACTCAAATTCAGGTAAGTTACAATTAAATTCTGCTATTTACAAACACTAGCACTCAGAAGATTAATAGCTTATTTGATGTATCACTCTTTAAATCCATACTTTACAATGACACAAATTCCTCACGGGCCCTAGGTTTCAATTTTGAAATAGGATATGTTCAAGTTTGCATTTCTGAATATTGCAGCACAGAAACACTGAGTGTCAATATTCACCTGTGTTATGACGATAAACACGGCAATGCCCGTGGATGCTGGGGTGGAATCCCACTGGAGAGGTCTGCTTTGAGACTTCTTCATTCTGACTATCGTCCAACCCATGCACAGACTCAGAAGTAGGTATAACATCTGAATTTGGGAAGCGATATCAAAAACTAAGGGGAACAGAAATCAAAGTCAATCAAGTTTTCATAATACAAAGAATTTGGTCTTTTTTGCATTGAAAATAGAATTTTTTAACCATAAAAAAGGTGTTTTCAAAGCTGATGAAATTCAGTAAGATGTTCAGGTACAATTCTAAAGAATTAAAAATTTGCCACTAAATTTGTAAACACAAGAAAATAGTTAAAACAATGGCAAAACTATTAAAAAATCTACATACCCATATCATACTTTATAATGCCAACTTTAAATCTCTTTGTGTTTCCCGTTTTTCTTAGTTTTTCTAACTATATAATCCTATTCTCTATAGGTCACTGTTTATTAAAAGAAACAAATTTTAAGTAGAATTTTTGCAATACGGAGAATACTAGTGCCTTCATTTCTGGATTGTTAAATTTTTTTAACTACTGAACTGTACAGTGTGAACTTATCTTCTAAAACTATTAATAAGAAATAGCATGACAATAAAATGCATAGCTGCTGTAAAATCCAATTACGTTGGCTTTAGTGTCAGTCTGGAAGACAGACAAAATGCTCCGTGCATTAGTGTGATGTGCCACCAGGTGGCCATCCCTTGCACTGCAGGGGAGGCCTGCTACTTCAGAAAGGAAACAAAATCATCCACATCTAGTTTAGCGCTAAAAGAAAAACAATCTATAAATACTTGAAGTTCCATGCATATTTATTTCAGAAGCTAGTATTTACTGAATTATAAAAAAAGATGATCATTTTCTCATTATAGTGTATTTTGATGTAGATTTTGGATAAATGTATAATCACAATTTAACAAAGTAAAACTTATTCAAATTGCTATCCATAACTTCGATGTCTATGACTTTTGCTTCTTTTATACAAAGAAATTCCTGAAGAAACAGATAAAACTAGCTATAGTATAATGCTTATACTTAAAAATTAGAGACCAAAAACCTATTTATAAAATACTTTTACAGACATATTTTGACATATTTTCCTGTCCTGCCATCCAAATTAAAACTAGATACTCTACATTTATGCCTATATTTTTTTAATAGTGAATTATGATAGTGAACTGTGAATTATGATCGTGAACTGTCACTACATATGAATGACATAAAATGTTATGGCCTTTCAGATCAAGCAATTTTCTTTCATTGTAGACTTTAAATGACTGTGATGCCAATTATTTTTATTAAATATTTCACAAATGCATATTCCGTTACTTATAAAAAGAAGCTAAGCAAAGGAATATTTCTACATAAATTGCTAATTAGCAAAAACAAATACCTGGTGGGGAAACCTCTGGCTCATTCCTTATCCACTAAGCAATGCTCATATTGATACAATGCCATAACTACAAGGGTAAGTAATAAGTAGAACACTGCTTATCTGTTTCTGAAAAATAACTAATTACAGACAAAATACACAGGTCACAAAAATCCCATTCTATGGGATTTGATTAAAAATCCTAAAATTTCATCATTTAATCAAACCTGTTGTCTGAACTACCAAAAATTAACAACACTGATTTACTGTGGTTTTTTAAAAAAAGACTTTTGCTTTTTAATCTACAGTGAAGAAACCAGATAGCCTAAAACACTGTTTTGTATATAGCAGACACAAAAATTCAAAAGTCCTTGATTTTAGTAACAGCTTGCCACTGATGGGCTTCTGCGTGCTTTCCCTCTTTCGACTTCAATTTCCTCATGTAAAATGCATAAGCTAAATTATTTCTAAGGTTCTGTTTAGCTTTAAAATTCTATGCTTCTATTAAACATCTGGAGTCAACGAAGAGAAAAAAGAAAGAGAAACCAGGGATCCCCACAATGTTCAGAAAGGAGAAGCAATTCTTGTTCACGCCAGAGATGGCCAGGGCATGCCTGCTTCATTACTCTCCACTAGCAAATAGAAAGGTTGTAGAAATTTTAGAATCTTAAAATAGGCAGCAAGATCAGGATAAGTGGGTCCTGGGATGGTCAGAGAGATTGTCATAAGCTACCATATTAAAGAGTGACAAGATTAGAAGAGAAATATGGAAATACAAGAGAAGTAAATCCATATTCAGAATCTGCTTTTTTAGAACAAATCTTGACTAGTTTTCCAGGACTGAAAATGACATACAACCTGATGTCCCTTCAAAGTTCTCTTTTTAAAAAAGTCACGATTATGGGAACTTTAAAGTCTTATTTTCCCCACCATTCTTAATTGAAAAATTACTTCATAAGAGTTCCTCTTATAAATAAAAGAACAAAGCTGTGAGGTCACCTCAATTATAGGTGTGCTCCATGGCTCTGGGTCAGAAATAAAGGAGAAACAAAAGAGGGATGAAAATAAGAAAAAAAACCTTTCAGCTTTGGGATCAGAAAGGCTGTGTCTGAGTTTTGGCACTACCCACTCAGAAGCTGACTGACGCCTGGAAATGTATTTCACGTCACTGAGCCCAGATTCTTTATCTGCAAAATCAGGATCAGTATACCTACTTCACTGAGGTTTTATTGAGGATAAAATAACAGAATGCATATAAGTCTGATATAAAAACAATGAAGGGCTACATACATTACCTACTATGAAGAGGAAACTAAACAGGACATATGGGAACTAAATCTGTACTCTGGTTTTTTAGTTGAGCTGAATTCTAACCAACCTTGGATAGAAAAACTGTATTATGACAAAAATAATTGACAGAAAAGGAAAACAAGAAGCAGAGAGCAAGTTTATGTTTTAAAAAATGCTCAGAAAGATACTCACATTCTGCCAAACTTCCCATTAAAGGTACCCCTAGTCCATCTTTGGAGTAACTGAGGAATTGAAGAGGAGAGTATAAGTATAAATTAAAATGTGAAAAAAAAATTGTTCATAATCAAAGCAAGCACAATTTTGGCAGACTAATTAGGATTAATTAGATGTAATGATGAACACAGTTTTAGTGGTTTTGAGTTACCTGGAGAAATGAATGTAATTAGCTAAAGCTGAGCCAGCTTGTGACAGCAAGGCAGTTGTCAGAACCTTTAAAATCATGTGCATGGGTCCTCCTTTCTTAATAGCCTGCCACAATGACTGAGCATAAATGCAAGCAATCACAAAGTACACTAGGACTAGGAGGAAAAAGAACTCATGGAACCCTGTGAAGAGAAGAAAGGAGTTTGCTTCAGTAAAACAAAGCCAGTTACAGTTCTGGGTTGCTTTCAAATCTTCCTGTTAATATAGTTCTAGAACTTGTTCTTTAGCTGGAGTCATAGCGTTCACTTTTTCAAGAGAAAAAAGAAGGAAATTATTGAAACTGAAATAATTTTCTACTTTAAGATAAAGCTTTAAATTAAACCGAACTAGTTAAAGTCAATCCATAAAAAAGCATAGCCATCAGAGAATAAGCCCAAAGGCTAACCATAATAGCTTTGTTCAAAAACAGTAAATTAAAACAATGATTTCAGCATTCACCTAGATATACTTTTTACCCCCCAAAGTGGATTTCTTTTCTAAGAAGTTTAGAAACAGACTGAATCAGTCAACAGTAGTTTACTATACCCTGACAATGGTTCTGGAAGTGTGATCCCTGGGCCAGCAGCAACATCAATAGAGAACTTGTTGGAAATGCAAATTTTGAGCATCATCCCAGATCTGTTCTACCAGAAATTCTGGGAGTAGGGCCCAGCAATCTGTGTTTTAATAAGCCCTTCAGATGATTCTGATGTAGCTAACACACTAGAACCCCTGGCTCTGGAATGTACCGTTACCATAAATTTCCATTTGGACAAAGGTTCAAAATACCTGTCATGACCAGAGCCCCCTTCTGAAGTGAACTGTCTTTAGCTCTAGTCAGGGAGGAATTCCTATGGAGACCACGTGACTCCACTCCACAGTCGACAAACTACAGCTGGTCAAATGGCTACTTATCCAAAGACTAGCTGTTGGCTGACAGCATAACTCAGTTCTCAGAGATTTTAGGGTATCATATTTTCTTGAGAAATTAAACCACAAAACATGAAGATGATTGGGCTAGGCAACAGAACTTGAAGCTGAAGGGTGTGATAGGCCAAAGGAGTCAAACCAGGCCATTAACGACAAAAATTTTGAGGAAGCAGAAACTTTGAATGAGCAAAGGAAGCTGGTTGGTAAAGTCAAGAATAAAATAAATGTCAGTTTTATACTAAAAATGGTGCCAGTCATTCAGCAGCCCTTAGTTCCTACCAGCAGCTTTTCAGTATAGTCAGCATTCACCCTCAAGATAAACACCCCCTTTTCTGCATTACCTGCAATCTCCTGACTGTGGCTTTTATTTTTCAGAATTTTCAGAAAATGTTTATAATAAACAGAGGGCTAGCTTTGAGTTTAGTGAGTTACATTTACTTGGTACCTCTAAAGCTAGTGCCTAATATTAGGGTTTTCATGATCTATCTCAGTGGCGCTGGAGTACAGTGACAGTGACTATGATTAGCGCTGCCTCTATCGAGCTGTGGATGAACAGTCTAAGCTGCAATCACTTCCACTCCAGTGTGAACACTGATTCTGCTCCAGTTTCCCATTTGGGGTAAACTCCAATTAGTGGCAGAGAAGGGAATATTCCCATTATATGGAAAATAATTTTGTAAAAGCAATCCAGAAGATAAAAATGGCAGGAAGAGTAGTCAGTAAACAGTTCAATCTCAGTCATGCTTTTGACATAATTAGTACAGAGAAAAAAAAGAGATAAGTATTTCATCCACTGGGTGTCTCTCCTGCTCTATATGTATAAATGTCTATAGTCCACGTCTCTAGTCCAGGTGGAAAAACATGTTTAGATTTTAGGAAGAGAAGATCAAATAACAGAAGAGGTATAGTTTCTTTATAAATTCCTTACATTGATGAGTATTCCAGCTTTAAAAATAATGGGGCAATAAGCCTGGGATTATTATAGTAATAGAACAAGACAGAAAATAAGTTAAAACATAACTGTGGGTCAGTAAAATTCTTTATGATATCCTGTGTTTTTAATCTTAGTTTTTTATCTTTCCTTCTTAGTATAAAGGAATAAAATATGGCATTCAATTTAAGTTTTATTTATTTATAATACTTCACAGAATATCCATTACAAGATAAAGTTGGAGACTCCATTAGGTCACAAATCCACCATCAAAAGAAAATGCTTAGACTGGTTACTGAGTAATCAGAATAATATGAGAGGAAGGAACTTTTGAAAATAAGACACATCACCAGCAAAAAAATATTTTAGGATTATTTAAGATTACACTGTCTAGAAAAAGCTAACGTTATTACCAACAAATTATTTCATTCAGATAATACACTGAAAATAACTTGAACTAGGACATCATCCTGAACTTTGTTCACTGAATTTTACATAAATTATTCTTATCTTGACCCTGTCAACAAGATACTTTAAAGATAAAAGGCTGATTCTGCACTCAGTGTGTTCTTTTAAATAATCATCTCTAGAAAAAAGTCTGTTTTTTCTCTTCAGCTGTCAACTTTGCTTTTATTCTGCCACTGTCCTTCATAAGAAAGCAATCTCTGTTCACTTGAAAATTAAAATCAAATTTTAAAACAGGTGGATGCTAGATATTAAATCTCACCTATATACAAAAGAAGAAAAGACTCTGAAATGAGGAGGCAATCAGTGGAAAATACATTATAAGGAAATGTGTGGATTTTAAGGCAAGCTTAATGGGAAGAAGCATTGGCAAAACTTATTGGAAGAAACTTACAGGACAGCTCCAAAAATGTAGCTGCAGCTGAATGCCAGGAAACAGGAGAACAGGGAGTAAGAACAGGGAGAGTGTCTGGTCATGGGGCAGCACATGGGGCACTCCTGCCTGCCTGCTCTGCTTGCTGTCTCAGAGTCCGTGTCCACCCTGCTCTCCAGTGTCCAAAGATATGTCCTGATTAGTCTAACTCATCATCAGAGGAATATCAATACCCCCGCCAAGAAGAGGTAAGCTTAGCCCTTTACTTTGACACAGAGGTCCTACCTACCCTTATCGTCTGACGCCTTCACTTTCATTTCTCTTACAGTGTTGTCTAGCAAAAGCATGTGACCCAGTTTTGGCAAATGAAATGGGGTGAGGGAGCTTCTGGGAATGGTTTCCTTGCTCTTCAAAGAGATACTGAATTTTGCCATTATCTAGATAAGTTGTCCAGAACTGCTGTAGTTAACTCTGGAAATAAGGACAAAGCTCACAGTCAGGACAGCAGGGTAGAGGGATGCTGAATAAACCATGCTGAAGATGACTCAAAAATTCTTGTTAGGTAAGATAATTTTCTGATTGTCTATACCACTTGCATCAGCATTTTCCATTAATTTAAGCCAAAAACATTCCAGCATGTTACCAGCAACACATTACCAGAACTAAATGGAAGATCTAACTAATTATCTTTGGGATAACAGAAGAAAAGAGAGACAAGAGAAAACAATGAACGTATCTGGGATCTTGAAAGCAGTGAGATGGCAGGTGTGCCACAGCCTGTTGTTGGTCCAGTGAAAACCAGTCTACTCTAGATGAGAATACTTAAATTCACAGGATTCTGGGTACTTCCTTGGGTCTCTAACAAGAGCACAAATACAGTTAAATGAGAATTCTAATTTTTTTAAGAAGCAGTTTTACTTTATCCTACCTTAAAGCATGATATAGTCCATGTAGTATTTTGTCAAGTGGTATTAAACTTGCCTTAGTTTTATTTTTGTTTTTAATAATCTAGACCAAGTCTGTAAAATACAGGATTAACCAAAGTCTAGTAGATAGAAAATACCTACCTGGTTTGAAAGAAAAAAAAAATTATAAAATTTAACCAGAATAACAAGTAGCATTAATTGCAGCTATTTGCACCAGGTTATTCTAATTCAAACCCCTCAGATACATGGCTTCACAGTCAATTCTCAGTAAAAAGCCTAGCAAATCAATTTTTTGCACTCAGGGCAGAAAATCAGAGTAATGAGCCAAAGTTTAGAAAATGGACTAATTGGAGATTATTCCTATGGACTTTACATCAGTGGTTCTGCACATTATAGACAACTTTGGAGCTTAGTCAAACTGTAACTGCCTGGCTTCTACTCCAAATCAAATCTGAGTTTCTAGGGGTGGACATCTGTACTTTTTTTTTAAAGTTCTCCAGACATATACACAAGTGATGGGTTCAGAGGCACCAATTTAGACTTCAATGTAGAATTAACCACATTTTATGGCAATACAGAATTATTCATATTTTAATTCTTATAGGCATTTTAAGCAATAAAACGATGTGATCCTTAGGGGATTAAGCCAGCCATATAACAGATTTGAATTCTTTTCAGTATTTTTGGCACTTTTTAACAGTCAGTACCAATGGATTAGCTGTGCTCACAATTCAATGTTTAATGAAAATATACACTGTAGTGAAATTTTCTCCTTCCTTTAAATATTGTTGGTGACATAACCAATGTAACTTTTCCTATTCTTCTATAAGAAAAAATTTTAAACTTAAGTATAAGTATCAGTCAAAATCAACCACAGTAGAAGGTAGGTCAGAAGGAGTCAAGACTAAGAACCTAATCAAAATGGTTAGTGTGAAACCTAGAAAAAAAGCCACAATTCAGGGTATTAAAATAATAGTAGAAGATATGGGCAAGGTTCAGGATGGGCCAGGGTGGGTCTCACCAACATTCAGTGGCCCAAAGCATAGTACAGGGCACAAATGTGATGACTTTATTGCCTACAGCCGATGTTAGGATGTCAAATTGGGAATGAGGAATGAGACCGGAAATGAGAGCCTGAGTAAGGAGGCAGGAGAAAGCATTATCAGGATCCAGTAGAGTCCCATGGATCCACCCAGTAAATAAAACAACTTCTTGAGCTAAAGGTTCATTGCCTGGAAGGCAGGAGGAGAAGCGCTACTGATCAGGACTCCACTAGAGACTGTGTGGTTTGCATATATAATGACTGCAGCAGAGCATTACTTCCTGCTGAACCTCAACCAGTCCTAAAAATAAGAGTCAGATGAAATAATGAAGCCTTATGGTTAAAAGGGATTTTAAAAGCCGTTCTGTCCAGCTATGCAGCCAATGCTATTAGTAGACCTGGGTTTCATCAATGTCTTTCCAAACTATGAAAAATAAATGTCAACATTATTTCATAAAGATAAAATAAATGGTAGGCCTGAGTTAACTTCCAATAATCATCTACACTGATCCAAAGTACCAGCAAGTGAAATTTAACCTTTAAGTTCACTTGTATTAAAAACAACTTGAGTAGCTTACCCTTATGTCATTTCTTTCACAAAAAACTTCCAGAATGAACTATTTTTAAATGTGTAGCAACCCATTCTGTCACTATCTAAAGAGAAACTAAAGTTTCTCTCCTCGTACGTTAAGTACTTGTGACCTACTGTCCATAGCGCATGCTCCTAGAGTTGCAGTTCCAGCTTTGGCAACTTAATGCTTTGAACTCAACAGTTGGCCCAAAGTCCTGCACCGCCTCCACCCACCCACTCTGACGGCCAATGAGATGTAACGGGAATGAATTTCTAAGAAGGACTCTTCCAAATGGGTAATGAAAGTCATGACGAGAACTCCTAAGCCTTTCCTTTGACAGATGGCTTACAGATCTTGGTTTTCATTCTGACATGTTGCTAATTTAAAAATCTGTTATGACACTTTATAGCATGTCTATCATTAATCATGGTAAGTCATTTATTTCTGCTGGGGCTAGGAATTTCACTTTAGTAGGGCAATACACAGTTAACCTAAAATTTTGATGAAACATTTTATGGGAGTAAATCTGATTTCAGAAAGCATTATAAACTTTGATCATTCCTAAAATGGTTGCAAGTTCCCATGAAGGCAATCCCTAAATCTATTCAAACAACACAGTGAAAGGAGAGACATACAGTCACTGAGTTTCCAATTTAGATTGCTCAACTTACTAACATTTCTCGGTTTATAAAAATAATATTGGGTTATCATTTCACTTCATCATTGAGTTTCCAATTTAGATTGCTCAATTCACTAACATTTCTCTGTTTATAAAAAATAATGTTGGGTTATCATACAAACAATAAAGATTTAGTATATAGAGAGAAAACTAAAAAGTACCCATAATTATCCCCCTAAATATGGAACTAATCTGTCAATATTTTTGTATTTCTTTCTGTTCATTCTCTGCATTTTTTAACATACTTGAAATTATACAATATATAATCTAGTTTTCTGCTTTTTTAACTGAAGAGTATAGCTATTAAAATGCTATAAAAGACTCATGTAACCGACCTACTGTTGGATACATAATTTTCAATGTTTCATATTTTTAATATTCTAAAACACAACATAAAGGCAGTTATGCATAAGACATATATTTAAGTACATATTCTTACCAGATTCTCCAGCGCTAAAATGATCAAATGGATTCCCTTCAGCATCCGGGTTTAGTAACATCATTTCAAATGGGATATCTTCCACCTGAGAATTTTCACTGTCACCTTTACATGTATATTTGTCTGCATAAAAGACGTGCCAAGTTTGTGGATATGGAATCTGGGACACTGTCAGATTATGTTCAGTCTGATTCATGGTCACTTTAAAGAAAAAGAAAATAGCACTTTCAAAGCAAAACTCTCAAATGTATCCATTGTTTTAGTCATATAAACTATTTGAAGTTTGAATTCTTTTGTTTAGTTCTTGTTGGTTTAGAAATCCAAGCCTTGGTGTAGTATTGGAATAACATAAGTCATAAAGCAGATAGAAAGAATGTATCTTAACCAAAGGAATTATTATAAAAGTACTATAAACATCACGAATGAGTTAGAATGGTTTCACAGAATCTTCAAATTTTAATTTTAAACATTTTCAAAGTTTTCAAGTGTGTTAGTAATATTAAAAAAAATTTTGTAAAAAAGTACACACAACACAAAAGTTTCATTTTAACCATTTTTAGGTTATACAGTTCTGTGGCATTAAGTACAGTCACAAGCTGTGTAACCACCACAGTGACATTTTCAAAATTACTTAAGTGCATTAAATTTTAAATAGAGCATCTATGTTGGGAAATCATTATATCTAAAGACCGACTGACAAATACCTTCAAAACATTTTCCTACATTTCCCTGTATGGCCCCGGAA